TTATCTTAGAATAACTTTTACAACGTAGTACTATATAAACTTTTTTTTTTTTATATAATAGAGTTCTATTAGATAGTACTTAGTTATTACTAATTCTTTAGTTATTAGTAATAGCTATTAGCTTTCTCTTTCTTATTAGTAAAGTTACTTTTAAGCTTAGTAACTTTATAATATAGATTTTTAATTTTATTTTTATTATCTAGATTATATTCTTTAAGAAAGAGTATAGTCTAATTATACTTATAGATAACGTAAGCGTCTTTCTTATCTTTAAGATAAAGCTTATTACGTTTCTTAGTAAGCTTAGTAAAATCTACGCTACTATTATCTATAGTAGTAAATAGATATACTTTTTTTTTTTTTTTACTAATAACTTTCGCTATACTAGTCTAAATTAGTTAATTTCTAGTATTCTAAAAAGCTTTTATTCTCTACTTTTTAACTACTTAAAAATTATCTAATTTAGACTAGTACTTATATAGTTATTAGCTAATCTAAGTTTCTTAATCTAAGTTAGGTATACCTCTTAGATATACTCTCTTTTTTTCTCTCTTTTTACTATAATCTTTACTACACTAATTTAAATTAGGTAATTTTTAGTATTTTAGAAAGCTCTAACTTCTAGCTTCTTAATAACTCTAAAATTACCTAATTTAGACTAGTATAGTAAAAGTTATCTAATAACTAAGTAGTTAATCTTAAGTATACCTATTTACTACTATACTATTATCTACTTATTATTATTCTATAAGCTTAAGCTTTTTTTAAAAATTCTAGATATAGTTAAGCTTTTTATTATATTATACGTAAGAAACTATATTAGATAGAAGCTAAACTTACTTTATAAGCGCGTTATATTCTTTAGTAAAGAGTCTAATAGTAGTTAACGTAGATAATAAGTAAGTAGAATCTTTAAGTAAGTAGAATCTTTTTACTAAAATCTAACTAAAACTATAACTATATATAACTATATAGCACTATTTAGAATAGTAATTAATATTTATAGTAGACTAAATTAATTAGAAACTTCTACTATATCTTACTTATATATACGTAAGTTATATTCTATCTTACTATAGCGTTTATAGCGTCTTTAAGATAATTTACCTACTTTAATATATACTTTTTTTTTTTTAACTTTCTTTTTTTTACTATACGCTTTAAACTCTTTTAGAGTTATTAGTTAAAGTTCTTTACTAATTATAAAAGTTTTTTTCTTTTATATATACTTTCTTTTATATAACTTATATTATATAGCTACTTTATTAGCTACTTTAAATTTAGTATTATACTTAGTTATTAATACTAAAGAGTACGCTATTATCTCTACGCTCTTTATAAGCTTTTTAATAGTTTTAACTATTAAGATTAGTAAGCTATTTATATACCTCTAAAATATTTTAAGAACTAGCTTTATTTAAGACTCTAATTCTAAAGTATTACTTAGAGTTTATAACTACTAGAGACTATTCTTAATAGTAGATAATAGTAGAGTATATAAATAAATATTAAGTATTAATACTATAGCTTCTAAATTAAATAGAACTAAGCTAGCGCTTTAGAAGCTTTCTAGAATATTACTTTTTATAATTAAAGTATTATAAGTAGTAATAAAGTATAGTAAGAACTCTATTTTAGTAATATAAGTAATCTTATTATATATTAGTTTTTTAGCTTAGTATCTATACGCCTTTTTTAGTAGCGTAGAATATCTAATATTAAGTAGCTATAGTAGATATAAAGAGTACGTAAGTATATAAAGAGTAATTATCTTCTTCTTTTTATAAAGCTAGTAGAAATTAATTAAGTTATAGCTTTTATAGCTATAAATAACTAGTAAGTAATAGCTACTAATAACTCTCTCTTTTATATACTTATTAAAGTACTCTAGCTACTTAATACTAAGCTTTCTTATTATCTAGCTATTTTTAAAAACTTTAATAACTTAATCTTATAGTAGATTTTCTTTCTTATACTAAGTAGAAAGATAGTACTTACTAGTAAAGATAATAAAGAGTAAAATTATCTACTCTATTACGTTAATACTTTAAATAGCTATAACTTACTTCTAATTACTCTACTATACTATCTTTAGCTATTTTTAATACTCTACTACTATAACTACTACTTTAGTTAATATTACGTCTATTATAAAGTCTATCTTATTAAAGTTATAGGTATCTTTATTCTAGATACTAAACTTAACTTTAGTATTCTATACTAGATAGAACTAGTTGTTTATAATCTTAGAATTTTTATAAAAAGTTTAAATATAGTTATACTCTTAATTAAACTTAACTTTAAGCTCTAGGTAGCGCTTAATAAAGTTTTTAGCTTATCTCTTACTAACTAAGTTCTAGTTATAAATCTAGAATAAATTATTAGCTATTTTCTTAATATTAGTAAGCTAAGATAAGTATTCTTACTCTAATAGCTTTAGAATATATTATATAATTACTACTTCTTTTAAAAAAATTTAAAAAGCTATTAATTTAGGTATTATATTATATTATTAAAGTATTCTAGTAAGTTATCTTTATAGTATACTTTTAGTAACGTTATAGATAGCTATAGTATATTATAGCTTAAGTATTATATTTTATTAGATAGTTTATAAAGAAAGCTATATATCTTTTTTATCTAAAGTCTTTTTTACGTTACTTAGTTATAGTATTATAGTATACTTAAAGTTTAGTTAGATTTTAGTAAAAAAATTCTACTTACTTAAAGATTTCTTTTACTTATTATCTATATTATAAGATAAATAGTAGTAGTGTAGAACTACTATAGTTACTAGATAACTATACTACTAAAGTAAAAGATATTAGAAATAGTAATACTAGAAATAAAGTTACTATTAATAGCCTTAGCGCCTTTTTAGAAGTCTTAGCCTATTATAAATAGTAAAACTATTACTATTATAAAGAATACTAAGTTCTAGCTATTAGTCTAATTCTAAAGATACGTAGATACTATCTATTTTCTTATTAGAACTAATAACTTTAATATAATCTTCTTTAATATCTAGATTAAAGTAGTTATAGTTATAAGTTATAGACTCTTCTAGCGTAGAGCTAGTTACTTTTTCTATATAGAATAGTAGAAGATATAAGTCTAGAAAGCTACTATAGTAGTAGTTAGATTACCTAATTTTGCGTAGTATAAGTATTTTCTAGACTATAGTGTTTTAGGTATTCTAAGTATTTTAGAATATAGTAGTATTCTTATTAGCTAGCTATAGAAAAGATTCTAAGAGTTTAGAGAATAGTTATCTAGTTATATTTAGTAGTAATAATAGAAAAAGTATAGTTAGTATAAATATTAAGCTTTACTTATAGACTATATCTTTTAATAATATTTACTTTATAGATATTATACGTTTTAGTACTTAATATATAATATATAGATTTATCTTAACTACTTACTCTAAATAAAGTAAGCTAATTCTTTTTCTTTTATATTATAATACTTTTAGTAATAAAGTATAAGATTCTATATAAATACTTATTTTCTTAACTTACTAAGTACTCTAATAAAAAGCTTCTAATAGATATATATTAGTTACTCTACTCTAGATTTTAAATATATTCTATAGACTAGTAGCGTTTTTATAATTAGTAAGGTTATTACTTAAGTAGTAGAGTTACTACTTAATTTAGATAGTATTAGTAAGATAGTAAGATAATAGCTTAATAGTTTACACTATTACGTAGTAGATATAGATATTTTCTAGTATTATACTTTACGCTATTAGTAAGAAGAGTAAGTATCTATACCTTAGGTATATAGATAATATAGAATAGTGTAAGAGTTAAGTTTAGTAATAAGTAAGATTCTACGTATAGGTCTATTTAGGCGTAAAAGTAAATATTTAAAGTTTCTTGCTTAATTAGAGCTAAGTCTAATTAGGTAGAGATTATAGATTTAATCTATAATAAGAGCCTAGAAATAGAAAATTAAAAAATAAATATATTTAAGCTAAAACTAAGTTAGATAATAGAAGATTTTACTAAAATTATATTAAAAACGCGTTATAAAAACGTTATAAGCGCTAAATTTAGCGAGGTCTTAGCAATAGTTAGGCTAGTTTTTTTAATAGTCAGATGAGTTGCGCTCTCTGTCATGCCCCAACGCTACGAGCTTCGATCATCGCTAAACTGCATCTATCCACGCGCGTCTGTCAACGTCGTGTACCGTTACACCCGAAAGGAGCTCACTATCCGTCAACCATCACTCTGTCAGCATGTTGAGCGGTATCAATGAACCACTTTCGCAACGGACTACAGTTTAGACGACGTGTCTCCATTGTTGATTCAGCACCATCCAGCTATGTAGGTGGCGTTGGCACGCACCTTCTATCGCATCTACAATAGACGCCCGCACATTAATGCCACAAAGAACTACTCGTCAATTTCAACGGAATTCTTTCGACTAGTATGGTGCAAAGACAGAGCTTCAGGCGATATCATTCCACGGACAAAGAGGAGACAACCACAGCTTATGGAACGAAGGCCAGGAAAGGCTTGCAACTATAACATCTCGGCTTCATGCTATTGACATCACCCAGACTGTTCTCTGACTCACGGCGACGGGCAGCATGACTGCACGCGTGGGAGAAGAGGTGGAAACACCTGTCGTGGGTTTCTAGGTCCCGAAGGTCGAGGGTCCAAGGCCAGTGTCATTGCTGAGCAGGTAACGCCTTCACTGTATCTCGGTGGCGGTGATATTTTGTACTGTTGAGTGAAACGGAAAGACAGTAGAGTCGCTTGCAACTAAACCTTTTTCGTAGTACGCTCAGAACGCAGTGTGGGTCGGGCCCCCAGCTCTACACCTTCGACTGCTCGTGCACCTTAGGCAAAGATTATATACAGGCTGCTCACCCTTCACCTCCCCACCTCCCGCCGGGACTACTTGTTCTTCTGCTCCTCCGCTCTCGCGTACCCGTCCGTCGCTCAGCCTCAACTAGTCAAACACTACCGCGCTCTTCCTTTTCCGCCGCGATGAAGGCACTCAATTTCCTGTCATGGACGGGATTAGTCGCTCTGGTCGCAAGTGAGCGTCTCAGCCCGCCACGTGGGCCTCTCTTGAATATCTCAGCTCTTCACGTTTCCAGGAGGAACGTGATTCCAATCGACTTTGCTGGCTGCAACCCTGCGGACCCCGGCTTCGTCATCCATGCCTCAGCAATCAGCGATGAAGAGTATGAAAAGGCGGTATGTCGAGGCCAGAAACTCTTCCTCGCAATGACCAGAGACGGCAATCAAGGCACACGTTACATCGATCCCCTCGACAGCAAATGGGACGACAACCTCGAGAAAGAGGGATTGACCTGGGGTAAGTTATGAGGGTACGAAGTGTATGTGAGACAAATACTGACTTAGTACCTCTACCTCTGCAGCCTGGTCTCTGTGGGTGGACGAGGACTCTTGGTGCGGCTTCCGCTTCTATGGGATGACGACTGCGTTCAAAGCCCTCAGCATCAGCGACATGTCGGTTGGCGAAGGAGGAGACAATCAGTGTTTCAGCGCCTACCACTACAACAGTCGGGCCGTTCTCTTTGATCCAAAAGATCCCTTCTACCTGGATGACCCCGAAGGTCGGATGTTGCCAATCGATAAACAATACTATCTTGATCCATCGGGCAAGAGGCAGCGGGTAAGTTGGGTTTGCGCATCAACCTGCTAAGCCGAATATCATAGCAAATTTTGGGGGTGACTGACACAGAGCCTAGTGCACAGCTTCCACGTACACGTTCGGTGTCAATCCCACGGCGGGCGCACTCTTCTTCGTCTCGCGCAGTAGTCCCTTCGAAACCGCAAAGATGCTCTGGAAATACGCCCCAAAAGCCTCTGAGCTACCCGAACTGCGCGCCAGCTCTGACTTCGCATGGGGCCTCTGGAATAAGATACGCGGAAAGGACAACCTCGGTGACATTCGCAAGATATTCAGCCTGTACATCGCAAACAAAGAAACCCAATCAATCATCGATAAAGCGATCGCTAAAAAGAGCATCAAAGAGCTGAAGAAGTGGCCAGGAACGGAGATTGATCCAAAGTCGGAGGAAGGACTAGCGATTATCGGTGAGTGTCTCCCGTCAACATCTCATTCTACCTTCAGTTACTAACAAGATCGCTCAACAGGTTCCGCGAACGGTCGAGCCGCAGGTTATTTCCTTGCGCAACACAAGAAACAGTTGGGCAAGGACAAGTACATCTCCAAGATCAACGTCTTCCTGACCGATAAGGAAAACCCGATGAGTAACATTCTCTTCTACGTCGACGATGTGCCTTCGCCGCCGCCGGAGATGGCGGAGCCTGAATATAAGGACAAGGACAAGGACACTGGATTGGTGGAGTCGAACCTTGTTGGTGGAGATGGGGATGGAACAAGTCTCATAAGACGACACATGGTCTTTGCAGGCCGCTCAGACTAGGTACGTAGAAACCGGCCTTCGATGCTGCGCCTCAAGTAGATGGTTTTGTGTACATGAAGGAAACACTTGGATGGTTAGACAACATCGGTTCGGTTCGAGAGCATGCGATCCTAGCATAAAGCGAATCCGGTTAAAAGCACTCAACGTACGCGTACAATTCAGGAACGATGATGTGGATAAGAAAACATTGTCGAGCTTTTGCCTTCTCCAATCTAACTATTCCTTCACTCTCTATTACGACTTTGCAAACACTTTATGACTCCGCACAATACTCTTCCCGTCTTCAGACCGCGCTACCACTCGGTCCTCGTCCTCATCGATAGCAACAGGCTCATTCAGCGCAACATCTCGCATCTGAATCTCCTGCGGAGGAGGCGGCGGCGGGTACGGCGCCGGCTTAACAACGAAGCACATATACGGCAACGCCGGTACCCCCATGAAAGGGCTTCCCGGTGCACCCTGGAAGACATGTATAGCCGACACGTATCTGTTGTGGCCAAACTGGGGTTTATGTTGTCCGAGCAGGTAGCCTGCCGCGATGCCGTTCGGCGATCCTAGAAGTCATACATCAGCACTGTGTAACATGCTGCAAGCAGGAGGCCGTGTGGAACATACCCAACAAAGCCCAGTATTCCGTAGCCATTCCAGCTTCGAATACATCTCCCGGCCAAGGTCGTACTTCCCGGCCTTCCAAAGCGCGCGCGATGATGGCGCGTGTCTCTTCGTTGGTGATCCGGTGGGAGAAGATGTAGTTGATGTTGGCGAGATTGCCGGCGCTCATCCTCTCCCATAGACCCCAGGCGATGTCTGAACTCGAAGCTAGAGCGGGCAGCTGGTCTTTTGGAGCTTGGGCGACGCCCCATAATTGTTTGGCCGCGGATTGGGCTGACCGGCGATTGATCATGTGGATGACACCATCTTGCGCGTTGATACCGATGGTGTGGAATGCGCCTGTGATCCTGTAGCTTCTACTGTTTACGACGTACTGCTGTTGGTTTCTGGCTGGTAGCTGACCGTTTGGCAACCGCTGAACGACGGCACTGTCTCTGTGGACGTAGGAGAAACATTTGTTCGGCCCGCCATCCGGAGCGCTCCTCGCGCTGATTCCAAGAGCCTTCAGCGCCGTTTCGAACATTGGCTTCATGGTGAAGTCGCATTCGTCTTTGATGTCCCTGTTTTCGCTGTTGTCTAGGTAGCCCCACAGCGCAAGCTCGTTGACGAGTGTTCCAGTCCATGGGCTGTTCAGTGGAGTACCGAACTGCTGCGCTTCCTGTGGATTGAGTGTGTCCATGAGCTGGAGCTTCTGGCCGCGGCAACCGGCAGTCACCCAGAGGAAGTCGTTTGCTGGCGCGATGGGTGCTCTTTTGAGTAGGCTATGGCCGTCTTCAATGACCAGGCTGGAGATATTGGGTGACGTCTCGTTGACGGAGGGTAGTAGAGCTTTACTCGCGACGAGGCTCTGAAACGCGGCGAGACATGAAAGTAGGTGGAATCTCATGTTGCAGATCAGTGTAAGGTGGTAGGCGCTGCGGCGAGATAGCACATGAGAGATGTAAGCGGGTCTATGGAGTAAAGGGCGTTAGTTCCGGTGATACTACGCGTACGTACCCGGAATGACGCGAGTGACACTCGGAGTGTTTGCAATATGAGTGAAGGATCATTGAAGGTAAGCAGCAAGAGTCAGAAGCATTAGAGTGGCGAGTCTGAAAGTGAAACACACAGATATCATTCAACCCGAAGAAGCATTTGGATAAGCTTATGGCATATACTAAGCATACATATCTGTGAGTCGGTCCAACGTGGCCCAAGTCGTATACGGGAAATCGCACCCTTACAACTTCGCCCAGAGCACGTGCTGTCTGACTATGTTCTTCTCATCAGAAACTCTCTTGACCACTTCTACCGCTTGCGCTGGTGGCGGTATAATAGGATCGGGTAGATCATCCGGTACCTTCGGTGGGGGGTAGGGCGCGGGTCCGACGAAGAAGAAAATATGGGGTGCCGATGTGTCTGCGTCTACTCGAAATACGCGGATCGTTTGGACCCAGCGGTTGCCACCTAGTTGGGGCTTGTGTTGAGCGAGGAAGAATCCGGCTGCCCTGCCGTTGGGGGATCCTTTCACGTAGTTCTGATCAGTTTCGTGTCAAAAAGGATATGCGCAACGCTCTACATGTGTAAGTATAGGGAAGAAACAAACAGAACGTACCCAAGATAGCCAGATAGCTGTCAGTGTTGTATGTGTAATCGACCCCCGGCCAGACTGGAACCTCGTTCAACCGGGATTCCTTCAGCGCTCTGTCGATAATATTTTCCGTTTCGGAATTGACGACTGTCAAAGATGCTATAATCCAGATTTTCAGGAGATTGCTACTCGCTCGTCTCCAAAAATGCCCAGGCTAGATCCGAACTCATACGCAGAGCCGGCAACTCATTTGGATCGACTGTATGCTGATCCTCTAAACCCCATAAGTCGCGGGCTTCGAATGCGGGAGAGCCACGTTGAAGAAAGAATATCGCGCCTGCATCTGGGTTGACGACCGCCGTAGTGAAACCGGCTGTGGCCTGTATCGCGATTGCTTAGGTTAGCAGGAGGTTGCTAGATCGTATCGGGACTCGAAATATGAACTCACCCTGTATAATCGACCATCGACGTCATAGTACTGTTCTTTCCTGGGGTACATGTTTCCGTTTTCATCCTTCTCCATAGCATCACTGTCGCAATGCTTTACCGAGAAGCAATAGTTTGGTCCGCCGTAGAGGTGGCTGCCTGTTGTGGTTCTGAGGTGCGGGAGGATAGTCTTGAGGAAGTCGATATTGCACTCTGTATCGGGATCGGTAACTCCATCTTTCCAACCCCACTTGGCGAGGTCGTCCCTCATCTCGCCGTCCCAGGGAGAATTGATGGGATTCACGAATCGTGCAGCTTCCGGAGCGTTTTGGGTGGTCCCGAGAAGTAGTTTTCCGCCCCTGCATTTTGCTGCATGCCAGAGCGCATCGTCGGCAGGTTGTAGACCGAAGCAAAAGTCGTCGTCGCTGTCGTCGCTGTCGTTGTCGTCGTTGTCGTCGCTGTCGTCTCTAGCGTTCAGGCTGCGGCGGTGCCAGCGGCACTCAGGAGACTCTCTCTTGACATTGGTGTCGTTGCGCAAAGCTTCAGTCGCGCCAAGGACAAAGAGACCCGTGATAGAGATGATGTGTGTGAGCTTCATCATATGAGATCGTAGTATTGCAGTCGGAGTGTTGCGGCCGGTTGACGTAAAAGGGAATGTGTGAATGTGGTGACTGTAGCCTACCCCAGGCAAGCGAGTGATTCTAGCTTGCCTAAGCAAGGGTGAGTGACCGGAACGCGGGAGGAACTCGGAGTAAGTGCGACCTGCCTGCGAAGTGAAGGCGAGACTAACGTCATAAAGTCAAAGCAGGCACGACCGCGCACTGGGATATCTGACATGTGAACGCACATTCGAAGGAGACATTGCGACCATGTTATCCCTCGCACTGGCTCGCTAATGAGTCTTATAAGAGCAGCATTGATGTGACTGTGCCTGGCTCTAGGAAATTTGACCAAGAGCATATCTAGTCTCTTGCGACACGCAACCTCCTCGCCATCAAAGCTTCGCCCAAATAACATGTTCTCTAACCAAATTCTTCCCATCCCTACTCCTCCTCACTACCTTACCCTCTCGAACCGCCGCGCTACCCTTCTCCGCCGGTTTCTCCGGCGCACCAGAAGTGTCATCTACATCCGGCATCGGTGTTATATTCTTGTCAACATGAAAAATGAGATTAGGCTCATCATCAAACTCATCGCCATCGTTTCTAAATATTGTGATCTTGTAGATGAAATTCGCGCCACCGAGCTGCCTTTTGTGTTGAAGAAGAAAGTAGCCAGCGCCGAGTCCATTGGGCGAACCTAGACAGGCGTCAGAGATAGCAGAAGTCGATGTACAGGAAGTATGACTTACCGATAAGTGCAAGAGCAGCTTCAGCCTCAGCTTCATTATCTGACCCAACAACAATCTCCGTCCCAGGCCATCTCTGCAGCCCAGTCACACCCACCGCTTCCAAAGCCTTTGGTATGATGGTGTCAGCCGTTTGCGTATTGACAATCTGGAGAGCCATGATCATTTTTATCATTGGTTCTCCTGGAACCCTGTTCCAGAGCGCCCAAGCTAAGTCAGAGCTCGAGCGGATCTTGGGCAAATCGGCTTTATCGACTTGTTCCGGTTTCAGATTCCAAAGATCTGCGGCTCCTTGCTCGGGTGACATTCGGTTGAGGAAGTAGAGAATACCGTCGTTGCGGTTTATGCCTACGGTGCTGTAGGCGCCGGTGACCTGTTGCGTTGTTAGATATTGGCCTAGTGGACATGACGTTGATAGGGCTGGAGGTCACTGACCCTGTACGTTTTACCATCTGCCTCGTAACGCTGACTAGACAGATAAGGCATCTTCCCATTCTTGTCTAGAATGACCGTAGGTCCATTACTATGCTGTAATCTGAAGCAATGGTTCGGTCCACCTTTTCCCGCCGATCGCGTATCAACACCGAGAGCATCGAAAGTGTTCTTCATCTTCAACGTCTCATCGAAGTCACACGAATCGTCGATCTCTGCATTCTCCTCTTCGTTGTCGAGCCAACCCCATTTTCTCAGTTCGGGCTTCAGATCACCCTCCCAAGGGCTTTGTGTGTAAGGCCATTGCAGCATCGCGTTGCTTTCTTCTTCATCGAGGGACATGGCTCGGACAAGGGCGGCGCCACGACAGTAAGCCTTGTGCCATATGGGGTCATTATCTGAGGGTGGCGGTGTGTCGACAGCAAGTAGAGGATCTGCGGCCGCAATCGAGGCTTTCGAGCTTGAGTTGATGGCAGTGAAATCTTCATGTAGCTCCTGTCTAGATACGAACCCATTTGTAACCGAAGCAACAAGAGAGACGAGACAACCGTATAATAGCAGCTTCATATCAAGAATGGGTAGGAATAACAGTGTGGGATAATAAGAGCAAGGGGCTTGGATGAAGACAAGGTCTAGACAGGGATAAACTCCTGATGTGAATCCGTAATGGCTACCATGACGCAATTCTAGAAGCGTAAATGTTTCATTCAGCCTCTAGGTACGAGTGAAATCAAGGGTCGAAGACCGCATTGTCACTGACATCCAAACGCTCAAGCCCCCCACTTCTTCTTCAACGCTGCTACCTGAGTTGCATTAACGCCCAATACACTCCCGTGCCTCAGATTCTGAGGCCAGGCGCTCCTATCACTCGCTGTCCATTGGCCACCTCTTACATTAGTACTCTCGTAAGGTCTGTATCCATCGGCTCCATAGAAGTCTAGCAACAGGTGCGCCTTGCCAGCTACTTGGTTGTCCCAGTAAGGCGCGGGGCCCTCTACGCCAGACGCGATGATTGCATTGGCACCTGCAGGCCTGGACCAGGTGCCAAATAGTCCGTTGGTCGAGATCTCCGTGTAGACTGTCTTCGCACTCTCGTCCTTCAAAAAGCGCGCGTACGCGTTATTACCGAGAGAAAGGAATTCTTGGTCGATAACGTTGATGGGGGATCGGTTGATGTAGTCCTGAGGCGTGCTAAAGGTCTTGAAGTCCTTGGTATATGCGTAGCGGATTCGAATCGATGAAGGCGCTCCTGTGTGTTGCGGATCGGAAGTGGGATAAAACTTGCTCGCCCAATGAACGAAGTATTGGCCTTTGGCTTCGTCGAAAATTGCACTGGGTGCCCAGACCATTCCGGCAGTTGCGTCTTCAACAGTAACGAGGCGTTCATTGGTCCATGTTACAAGGTCGACGGACTCCCAGACAAAGATGCCGCGAGATCCCGTGCGCTGGGATGCGTCCCACGTTGTCTTGCCGATGTTCAAGTCGGTGCCAATGATGTACCACTTTTTGCCAGCTTCAGCTGCTCCACCGGTTATAATGGCTGGGTCGCGGACTCCAAGAGTGCCTTTCGTCGGGTTGATGACAGCTTGGCCTCTGTTCAAAGCAGTCATGGAGTTGGCGTTGTTGCCGTTGGAAAGATAGAAGTACACAGAAGGCTTGTCGCCGAGGAAGAAGACACCGAGATAATTCGTCAGAGACGCATCGGCACGAGATGCAATGGCATGTCTTGAAAAGTCGAGGGTCTGTGACGGCAGAGCAAGAATGCTGGGAAGCAAGCTGCACAAAGTGAGGAGACGCATCGTGAAAGGAGTACAGTAAGCCCGGATATGACGAGCAGATGAGAAGGCGCAAGGCCACTTATAAAGGCTGTGAAATAAAGTTCCATTTGGCGTTGCCACATAGTTTGTCAAGGATACCACGTCACGAGCGTTGCGCAACGGCTGTCCCTCCTAAGATGGCTAGGTACCCAAGCTTCCGTGAACCCTAGGAGCGTCAGACCAGGAAGGTGACCATCTTTGCGGGGTAACGTAGTCACAAAGTCAGTAGCACCTCTTCTGGTAGGTGGGTCTGGGGATAGATTAAGTTGGATATGGGGTGTGGTATTAATCCGGCGCTACCGGTTTCCAAGGCGCTACATGAGCAGCCTCGGTAGTTCGGCCTATTGCAAATGCCACAACAAGATGGTTCCATCGACCAGAATAAGTAGGCAGTCGAATACGCATAGTCCTTTTTCGTGTTCTAGGGCACAGGAAATATTCGCGAGTGTCCGGTAGTCGACCTCAGGACTCGTCAAGTTTCGAAGCTGGTCCTGCATTGGTCACCCTCACTAGCCATGGCAGACTCACCGCATAGTCACCGACAATACCGTGTTTAACGATCTATACAATGCCAGCGCAAATACACACCACGTTGTGGCTGATTGTGCGAACTCGGAGGCATCCAAATTGTCATGGGTGGGTGTATGCCCTGCTTGCTCTTGTATACGCTTGGAATGACCTTCCAACTGTTCAGTCGTCATCGCTATCATAACCAGCTACGAGCATGGTCGATAATTTCGAGGGTTGTGCGGCTGCTTTGACCGGAGGCGCGGGTGTCGAAGCAGGCGCCTTTTTCTTAAGACCTAACGCAGCACTAAAGTCTTTCTTTTCCTTCGTCTTCCTGGTGAACGTGGTAGCAACGGGTACCTCGATAGGCGCGTCGAACATATCTTCGTCAATCGTCTCCTCGCCGATGTCAGGCATGCTCCGACTTGCGAATGCCTGGCGTGCAGCTTCTGCGTCTTCTTCCTCCTGCTTCTTGCGTCGCTCGTCGGCAGCATCGGGTTGTACCTCAGTTCCTTTGCCCTCGCGGTCCGCCTTCTCCAGCCTGGCGTTTCTCGATCTGATCTCGTCCAGAGCGTCCGCGATGGCCATTTCGGTTTTGGCGTCGATGACCTTTGTCTCGAGTTCTTTCATCGCGTCGCGCTCTGCCTCCTCCCTTTCTATGCGGTCCAGGCGCTCCTCTTCGGTCTCCTCGTTGAGCTTGGCCTCTCTCCACGGCTCAAAATTTCTCTTCGCGCCACGCTCGCATTCGTAGTCCATGTTCTTGGGGTCGGTCTTGAAGGTGATCTCGCCGGAGCATCGCGTGCATCGAATGTAGAAGCGGAAGATGGCGATGTTGTAATACTTTTGGTCGGTCGTCTCCTTGCGCGCATTGAACTTGCGGCCTTTGTAGATGAACTCGCCGCAGTGGGTACATTTCATGGAGAAAGGTGCCATGAGACGAACCGTCATCAGCTTAGGACCAGCATTCTTGGGGCCGCGCTGGCGCGTGATCTTCGAAGGATCGAAATCCGGTGGGTAGTACTTGGTGAGCACTTTTCGTTCGGACATGGCGGCGGTTTGTGTGAGGTCTGGCGAGGTTTGACGGTGATCGGGTGCTTCGAGTTGATGTGTTGAAAGAGAATATAAGCTTTATGCTGCGCAAATGAAGGTGTCGCGCGTGATATGGATGAGGTCGTGTGGCGTGTTGGATGTCAAGTGAGTGGTAGAAATCACGTCCAGGTAACGACAACCCTAGCGCGGAACTTTTGGCTGACTAAGGCGGCCCGCTGCTGCAGGCACCCCGCAAACATGTGCTCTCGCGTCGGGCAGGCGCGACCCTGGCTCTAAACATCGCGCCGCCGCCGACTGCCACCTCGACTGGGGATATCTTTTGGGACACATTCACTAAGCCGCCTGAACAGACTATACCCAATGCGATAGCGAAACTATGGAGAAATATCTACGCGAGTGGCGCCAGGAAGCCCTCAATCGTTGCCAGTACGACACAGCCATCTTTGTTGCAGACAAGCTGCTGGCACTGACGGGTATGCTCTAACACTCGGCAGGTCAACGTGTACTGACAAGATCGCACAGATGACGACCAGGATGCATTCTGGCTAGCCCAGGTACACTTCACCACCGGCAACTACAACAGAACCCAGTCACTCCTCGCACGCGGAAACCTCGTCGAGCGCACGCCCCAATGTCGATACCTCGCTGCGCACTGCTCTCTGAAGCTGGGGAAATTGGAAGACGCACTGCAGATACTGGGCGATAAGAACCCAACCCATTTGATCTCGGCGCCAGGGAACACGCGCACCAAGCTGCGACATGTCGACGTCAACACCCGGGCCGGCGCAAGACAGACCAAGAACGGCTCGCGCAACGAGCGCCTACCCACGAGCGAAGAGCGTGATCGAGAAGATGTTAACAACATCAAGTCAGAAGCAGGCATGTGCTATCTCCGGGGCGTATGCTATGCAAAGCAGAACTCCTTCGACCGGGCCAAGGAATGCTATAAGACGGCGGTTCAGATCGACGTGCAATGCTTCGAGGCCTTCGATGCGCTCATGTCCAACTCGTTGATGGCGCCAGAGGAGGAGTGGAAGTTCCTCGAATCGCTCAACTTCGACACCATCAACGTCGCCAACAACCCATCCTTGTCACAAGAGGCCGCGTCCTTCACCAAGACCCTCTACACAACACGCCTATCCAAGTACACCAGACCAGAAGAGTTTGCGAACGCGACCGAGACACTCACGACCCACTACAACCTTGGCGAGAACCCCGACATAGTCCTCTCCAAAGCGGATCTCATGTTCACCCTATGCCGCTTCCGCGATACCCTTGCCCTCACGTCGGCCGTCCTAGCGAACGACAAGTACAACTTCAATATCATGCCCATACATATAGCGTCGTTGCACGAGCTCGGCGAAAAGAATACTCTCTTCCTGCTTGCGCACGAACTGGCGGACACAAACCCCTCAGAGCCCTGCGCATGGTTCGCTGTCGGTACCTACTATCTCGCCATCGGTCGCATAGCTGAGGCACGCCGCTACTTCTCCAAATCCTCTATGATGGACCCACACTTTGGTCCTGCCTGGATAGGCTTCGCGCATACGTTTGCCGCAGAGGGGGAACACGATCAAGCCATCTCCGCCTACTCCACCGCGGCACGTCTCTTCCAAGGCTCGCATCTCCCACAACTATTCCTCGGCATGCAAAACCTCCAATTGAACAACCTGAGCCTGTCACGAGAGTATTTGAAGACGTCATACGATCTGTGCGAGAACGATCCTTGCCTTCTTAACGAGATGGGCGTTGTCTACTTCCACGAAGGACAACTGCTGGACGCTATACAATTCTTCCGCCGTGCGCTAGCCTTCTCGGAGCAAAACGAAGCAGATCCAGATGCCTGGATACCCACGCGGATAAACCTCGCCCATGCGCTTCGCAAGTGTGAGCAGTACAGCGAAGCACTCGAGACATTCGACGAAGTGCTTCGCCATGGCATGAAGGACCCGAGCGTCTTCACCGCAAAAGCCTTAGTTCTCCTAAACCTCAACCGGAGTTGGGACGCTGTCATCACCTTGCATGAAGCCCTCGCCGTCTCGCCCCAGGACCCCATGGCCACCGACCTCCTCAATCGCGCGCTAGAAATCAACGAGTCAGACAGCGGACTCCTCGAGTCTGGAACAGCGGGAGGACCAGACATGACAGGAGACGCAGATGAAGACGAAGAGATTGAGGAGCTCGAACGAAGAATGAACGGCAAGCTACGCGAAATCGAACAGAATCGGGTTGCTGGCAGGCGAGGTCGCAGGAGGCGGCATGCGCAAGGCGCGGCAGAGGAGGATCTTAGTGCCTTTGGGGAGAGCATGGTCGTCGATTCAGACGACGGCTAGTATTTGCAAGCGATACTTTTGGATACGCGAATAACAGCCCTGGATTTGAATATCCTTCACAGACAGAGAACGTACTATGCGGCTTAAGTCACGTAGTCGGACAGGCGTCAGATGGGCTTTGGATCATGGCATAGCATGGAGTGAATGGGTTTTGTAAACGTCTTTTTGCATAGCAGATACCATATCATAGGCGTTTTGTTCCTCTTCAAATAACCACTATCTCTTCGACTTTATGTGCTCTCAGACCGGAAGTACCAATTCAGTTCTGTACAGTCAATAAGCCAGGTTATGTAAAGTCGGCGCTTCCCCTCTCGTACCTTTAGTATATCCCCACTTCCGCATCACTGTCTCAATACCCTTTCTCGTAGTCTTCCTCGCATGTTCCCTGCTCTTTCCACCCTTCAACAAGGCATCATAGTCAGTATGCCTATGCCGTGCATGCGCAATGACAGCAAACAAGATCTTTCGTGATAACGGTATTGAGCTCGTTCGGCCGACTCTACCAGAGTGTTTCTTGAAGCTGTGCTTAAGTACGGCTTGCTTCTCTGACGCTGGTATCTTTGGAAATCGCGTGTCTATCTCAGCAGCTGCGTTGGCAATGTCAGTCGCATCGCGCTTCGTTGTAGCTGCGCGACGAGTTGTCAACGTTTCTTTCGACTGCTTGTTGACCTTGTGCAAAACGTGTAAGGGGATGCGGATGCCAGTCGTTCTTTTTTGGTCGTCGATGACAATGTATAATGGACGTCCGGCTTCGTGGGTAAGCTTGCGACAATGCAGTGTTTTGTAGCGGTCGCCTTTCGGAAGAAAGCCGTAGGATTTGGGTACCGGTGACTTCTGTGTGACTGTGATCTCTTGACGCATGGTTATGGTGGAAGCTGTATCGCCTTCAGAGGGAGTCTAGCGAGTTTCTGTCTTGTGTCCATTTGGTAGAGTGGCTCTTAGATCGTGATACAGTGTCGACAATGTTCATCGCGTTCTTTGTACATGCCCAGATGCCCGCGCGAAAGGAGTGTAGACAATGCGATCGCGAAACGTTAGCGTTGTGAGCACGCGTCTCGACGCGTCCATCGATAGCTCACGTCACTGGCAGTAATTCGCGCTAGGCCCAAACAGACGCGCACATGTGACGGCATCTCCCTCGATCGCTCCATCGCTCCATCTCCAGATTCCAGGCCCTGCACCTTCTCCTCCCTCAATGCAGTCGCAGCGTCCGACATCCTGCGAAATGTACAACTCCTCACACGCGACAGAAGTGAACGCCCATCTTCCCCCGCGGTTCCGGATCAATCGGCAACCAAGTGCTAAGTTTGGCACTCAGACGCGTTGGTCCCACCACCGAACACCAATCCGCGACACAGCTGACGCTTGCCTGACTCCACAGGAGCCATGGCCAGCACGATGACGACGCCTCAGTGGCTCAACGCTATAAAACCTTCAGCCACAGTTGTGGACCCTACTTTTTACAGCCTCGACAGCTACCCTGGTTCTCCGTTCGGTTTAAGCCCTTTTGGCCATGACAATCAGACCCTTGAAGAGATCGGATACGACGCTGAGCGATGATACTGAGCTTGCGAACGTCACGTATAACGACAAGTACGTTATAGTGTATGACTTTGGTAATGTCGGTATGTCTTGTCATTGAGGCGTAGTGTTAAAGCGGACGGCTGACGAGGACTAGATGACGACGTAGCCATCGCAGAATGCAAGACGCTGTTGCATGACCTAGAGTCTGCAGGCCTCAATACTGAGGTACGCCCTGGCTATGATCAAACATTGTTGGTGTTTGTCCAAGCGCCCAGAGATCTGCTTGGCAACACAGTCTACAAGTCGCGGTACGCTGAGCCCGTCCGTAACCTCGTCATTTGGAAGGAGGCTAAGTAGCTTTTGCAGAGTCAAAGATTGGTTGTATGGCATCACCAAAGACCATCCTGGTGGAACCGCCAAGACCGTTGTCACCGCAGAGTTCGAAGCCGAAGATCTGCTTTCCATGTATCACCTTGTCAACTGGCGCAAAGAGCTTGGAGGCGCAGGTATCACACCAGAGTTTCCACCATGGGAAAACGTGACCGCAATCTTCCCGTTACACAACTCAGGTGCAAACCGCGCGTTATTGGCCCATCTGAGCACTCGGGTATTCCTGGAACCCGCCGACCTGGACCGTATACGTGATCTGTGGGGTGCCAAAGTTGCCTTCTACTTTGCTTTCATCCAGACTTACTTTCGATCCTTGGCATTCCCTTGCGCTGCTGGTGTATTTGCCTGGGCATTCTTGCCGAAATACTCTCTGGTGTTCGCACTCCTAATCGGAGTCTGGTGCACTGTTTTCTTGGAGTATTGGAAGATCAAGCAGACCGACCTTGCAATCCGATGGAAAGTACGAGGAGTCGGCGACCTCAAAGTCAACCGTCCGCAATTTCGCTACGAGCAAGAGATCATCGACTCAGCTGGGCGAGTACGGCATGTGTTTCCGAGATGGAAGAGGATTGTACGGCAACTGGTCGTCATACCATTCGTCCTTGTCAGCACTCTGCTACTCGGGATTCTGATCGCATTCGTCTTTACCATCGAGACCTTCATTGGAGAAGCCTATGAGGGGCCCTACAAGTTCTATTTGGTCAGTATTTGCCCAGTCCTACCCATTGCGCTATCCTAATGTTTCACTAGGAATACCTGCCTACGGTGCTTCTTGCAGTCTTCTTGCCATACGCGACGAACTTTCTGGAAGATATCGCTACTGCGCTGACGGAATACGAGAACCATCGAACAGCTGATCATTACGAGATGTCGCTCACTCAAAAGATCTTTGTGCTCAACTCAATCACCAACTATCTGCCAATTCTTCTCACAGCATTCGTATACGTACCCTTCGGTGGACAAATTATACCGTTGCTGGAACGCGTTATCGATGCCACACTAGGTGCGCAAACTAGAGCCAAGATGGTGTTCAAGGCCGACCCTGACCGGCTGCGTAACGAAGTCATCGCGCTCACCGTAACGGGGCAGGTTTCGAGCGCAATCGAAGAGCTCGCGCTACCTTGGCTGAAGACTCAGATCAAACAATGGTGGCGTGACCGACAAGCCAGCCGAGCAAAGAATCGCAGCAGTGACTCGTACGAGAGCCCAACTGCAGAAGATCCAGCGGAATCTCGTTTTCTACGTCGCACGAGACGGCAAGCTCTGAGACCATCCTACAACGTCCAAGAGGACATTGCAGAGATGGTCATTCAGTTTGGCTACCTTGCGCTCTTCAGCCCCGTGTGGCCTCTTGTGCCGATCGGCTTCTTCATCAACAACTGGATCGAGCTGCGGTCGGACTTCCTGAAGATCTGTGTCGAGCATCAGCGTCCTCACCCAACACGTAGTGACGGAATCGAGCCGTGGGTGGCCAGTCTAGAGTCATTGACATGGTTGGGGAGTATATCCAGTGCGGCCATCGTACACATGTTCGGTTCCCAGCAATTCCTCGGCAGATATCTTGGCTTGAGCATGTGGGCCAGCTTACCGGTGACGATCCTCATTTCCGAACACATCTTCATGGGCTTCAGAGCTGCTGTGCGGTTTGCCCTAGCCAGGATCGGTTCGGAGCAGACTCGGAAAGAGCGCGCAGAGCGATACGCGAGGAGAAAGAAGCATCTGGACGAGCTAGAGGCAACTGCAGAGAAGAAGTCTCATCTTGACGTGACGGAGCGGGAGAGACGTAAAAGCGTTCGAATCAATGCAGCCGACATATTCTGGACGAAACAAGCTGAAGTAGGAGCCAGCGCGGATGCCGGCGTAAGTATCATCAAAGCATTGAAGAGTGCACAGAAGGAGAGCATCGTGACTGGTCGAGAGAACAAGATTGATTGAAACGCTGGGCTATATAGCCAGAAGACGTCTCTGCTGTCCCTCCATGTTATGTACAAAGTCTTCCCCAATCCACCACAAAATATATACAGAAAGTGTGCGATGTGCACGGTGTGTGACACGCTTACTTGTTGATAGCAGCGAGGACAGTGTTGTAAGCTGTCTTGGCGTTGTAGTTGGAGTCGAAGAGAAGGGGGTTGCCGTTGGGCCTCCAGGAGTCGTTGTCGCGGATACCCCAGACGGTGATACCAACGCAGTTCTTCTGGTCCAAGCAAGCCTTGACAACGTTCTGCCAGTCAGAGGTCTGGGCGTTCTGAATGTCGACCTCGGTCATCGCACACTCGGGGGCGGCAGCGCAGAGCGCGGCCATGGCGGCGGGAGCGTTGGCACCCTGGCCGGAGGTGATGTGACCCTGCGAACCGATACCGTCGATGGGAACACCGGCGGCGATCCACTTCTTGACGTTGCGGACCATACCCTGGGTCTTGGAGTAGGACGCTTGGTCCAGGCTACGCGGTTGTTAGTGTCATGATCTTGATGGAGTCTGAGAGAATGTGCTTACTTGTAGTCGTTGATGTAACGCTTCGCAGCAGGGTCAACGGCCTTGGCTGTCTCGAAAGCAATTCGGACGAAGTCCTCACCGAGGACGTTGTAGAAGACACTGGCGCGGAGGCTACCGTTCTCCTCGAACTGTGGGGCGGTCAATGTATGTTCCAGTCGGACCGGGATATGAAGATCAACTTACGATCTCGTTGACGACATCCCAAGCGTAGACCTGGCCCTTGTAGCGGTTCATCAGGGTGGTGATGTGGTTCTTCATGACGGTGGTCAAGGTGGCCTTGTCATTGATCTGGGAGACCCAGGCGGGCAGCTGGGAGTACCACACGGTGGTGTGTCCACGGATGAGCTTGCCATTGTCCTTTGCGAACTTGGCAGTCTGGTCGGCGTTACCGAAGTTGAAGTTACCACGGGAAGGCTCGGTGGCATCCCACTTCATGCTGTCCAGCAGTTAGCATCGCACACAACACTGCGTTCGGTAGGTTGGAAAAGACTTACGAGTTCTCAGGTGTAATGGCACCGAAGTTCGCCTTGATGATCGCGGCGTTCTTGCCTTGGTTGAGACGACCTGGGTCAGCGCAGGTACCGAAGTACTTCCGGCCCTTTGCCTTCATGGCAGCATCGATGCTCTGCGCAGCCTGGCGCTCATCGAGGAGAGCCTCTGGCTCAGCGAAAGGCGCAGCCTGGACCAGCGCGGCCGCGGACAAGATGGTGACGAGAGAAATCTTCATGGTGAGAATGGTATATCGAGACTGTAACTGAACTTGGACTTTAAAAGAACGTAAGTTGCTGGATACCTCAATCAAGTCGAGAGCCCCAGACTACTTATACCAAACCACCAACACCCTCGGCCCTATACTGATATTGCTCACAAGATTAGCGATCTCCGCACCCTCCTGCTCATTACGAACAATATCCATCCGACCAAGCCCACCTCGGTCCCTCCTTGCGCATGCCGCCACCAGTACGGGGAAACATGTATGCGTTAGCCCTAGGACAATTACCCACATGTAGCGGGAAGACGGACAATTCATCTAACACGCCACAGTGCCTGCGCGTCGTCGATCAGCCTGTACCCAAAGCGCGCCCGGCGCTTCCCCCATGCAGTATAGACAACGAAACGTCGTTGTTTCGCATTAATCTAAATGAAGCTTCCGGCGCCGGTTCTTGTCTTCCTTAGCACCACACGTGTACCCTTCGGGAGTTCGACTTAAGCAGGCTTGGCGCCTCTAATCGCGGTTAAATGCAATGTGCCACAACAACCGATCCCTGCGCGAAGCTGCGTTGCGTCACGGGGAACATGACTGCAATCTTTTAGGATCGATGCATAGGCGGCGTATTGCCGGTGCCAAAATGTCTTGTATTGCTTCTGCATGTCGTTATTCGTGGAGAATACCTTTTGATGGGCGTGGGGCCGGTAGCGATCACGCTTCATTAGGGGGCATTTCAGCCGCTGT